CATTTCCCCTCCATTCCAAGTTTAAAATCCCAGTTTGCATAATGGCCATTGAATCAAGTTTGAGTGTAAATTGTTGACCAGATCGGGTTGTCTTGAGTTGATTTCATTTTATACTGATTGAAGGTTTGCTTGCGTGGTATATTGTGGTTCTTTGGATGTTTTGACTGGTACACTGAGCGTCGGGCTAAGATCTCATCTGAGCCCCTTTAAGTGAAACGGGGCGTTTCGTTAACACCCTTACAACCCTTGAATTAATAGACCAAGACTGGGTCTGATGGCCAGGATTCATTGGCATTTTGTGTTGAACTTTGACCGCCTGCGTGTCATAACCATGGCCCTAGGATTGGTAGACTTCATCCAGATCGTGAGGCCATGACTTAATCTCCGCATTTGGCCAAGGACTTAATGAAACGCTGAGTTTCATTAAATGAACTTCAGCTGGTCCTGGGCTTAATTACTATGCGCACCCCCTCCCTTCAGCTTGTTTCCTTTACTTTTCACACGATAGCTTTATCAATTTTATTTCTTTTCTTTCTTTTTTCCATTTTATTTTCTGTTTCATATTAATTCATTTGAAAATGATAAGTGCTTTAATAAATCATGAAAAAATATGTTAGTGTACCTTGGCATGTGTAGAAATTTGTCATATTTTTTTATTTTGATTTTCTGTTTATTTTCGATTTGATTGCATTTTTTTTTCATGTTGTGTGCTTCTAATAAATGTGAAATTGACATGTTCATCTTCTTGATTTTCCCTCTTGTTCAATACATCAGATAAATGTCTAATATTTTGCATGCTGATTCTAGACGCATTGTGTGATATTGTAATTTTTTTTTCCTGATTTCTAGAGGCTGTTTAGATAGGTTTTAGAGTAGGTCTTTAGAACCTTTCCCATTTGCATTCTCTATGGCACATATCAAGGTTTTGCATTCTATTCATACCCTTAGGCTTGGAGTCTTGACCTGAAATTTTGTCCATAGCCTCTTAACATCTTGAGGATCCCTTAGGAGTTTTATTAGATTTTTTAAGATTGTTTTCCTATTTTTCATAGGTTTTACATTCTGGCTGTTGTTAGGGTGTTCCCCATTTGAACCTCCACCTAGTTTTGCCCTCTAAGTGATCTTTAGGCAATCCTTACATGAACCCATAGTAAATAGGTTGAGACCTTTGTAGGGTAGTTTTCAATTCTTTATGATGTCATTAGCTCCCTTAGGATGGGCTTCCTTTAGAGCTTAACTATTAGGGTTTTTTAGAAGCTTTAGGTGATTGTTTTCTCCTTCCCTATTCCTTATCCTATGATTTAGGGTTCCTTTGTGGGAGCCTAGTCCTTCCTTTGGAAGTACTAAAGGCATACCATGAATGGTAAAATCCTTGAGGATACAATCTTTAAGGTGATTGGTTGAGTGCCATGGTGGATTCCTTTGGTCTTCCCCATGCTTCCCATCATCATTCCATCTTTGTCCATTGATCTGAGGATCTCTCTTGTGAGATTCTGGTCCTCCCTTTGGGAGGTCTAATGTGCATTCCATAAAGAGGTTAAGCCTTAGAGGACTCTTGTCTTGATACACAATGAATCTAAAACCCTAGTTGTTCATTAGGTTCCACCCTTTAAATCATCTCTTCATCCATTGATTTGGGGATCTCTCTTGTGAGAGCCTGGTCCACCCTTTGGGAGGTCTAATGTGAATTCCACAAAGAGGTTGAGCCTTAGAGGACTCATGTGTTGATACACATTAACAAGATACCTTAGATTGACATTTAGGTTCCACCATTCTCATCTGTCCTACATTCTTAGGATATCTCTTGTGAGAGCTTGGTCCTCCCTTTGGGAGGTCTAATGTGAATTCCATAAAGAGGTTGAACCTAGGATGGACTCTTATGTTGACACACATCTAAACCGGATATAGCCTTGGGATGATTTCCTTGTTGCTCATCTAGTTTATCTCTCTCCTCTTGAATTGATTTCATTGCCTGCTTGTTGTGATGCATTAGGATAGAATTGCATGAGTAGAATACTTTTGTTTAGGTGCATGATTGCATTAAAGGTTGAGCTTGTCTCCCTTTGCTTGGTTATTTCTTTTATCTTCTGCGCATCTCTATTTGCATCCCATGATTGCATTAAAGGTTGAGCTTGTCTCCCTTTGCTTGGATGTTTATTTGCCTTTCATACTTGACATGTTTGCATTTAAAGGTTGAGCTTGTCTCCCTTTGCTTGGTTGTTTCTTTTATCTTCTGCACATCTCTGTTTGCATTAAAGGTTGAGCTTGTCTCCCTTACTTGTACTGTTGCATTGCATGTGCATCCAGTTGTTTTATATTTCATCTGCTTGATAGCCTTGTTTTGCTTTCCATTTGCCATGTCCCCTTAGGACTCTCACTTCCTTTTTTAAGGATAGTGATGATAGAACTTTAGGTTGAATCTTTTTCATGACAACATATAGGGTAGATTCCCTTTCAAACTTAACATTAGGGCCATTTTGCATGACAATATTAGGGTTGATTAGTGTCCCCTGTAGAGTTGTTTCTCTCTTCTCATCTCAAAACAACAGTAAAACACCTAATAAAGTCTAATTTTTATTTTACGCTACGAGCCTTAAGCTACCCAGGAAATGGTTATTGGAGGGTTTCCTTTCAGTATCCAGGATGTTTAGTGTGGCACCCTTTGGGTGACATGCGACGCATTCACTAATAGGTCATAGTCTCTAATGCAGTATGAATGACAAACGTTCATAAAAAAAACACTTCTCCTAAAAGACTTTAACAAACATCAAACTCCTTTTTTTCCCTTTGGGGATCTTTAATCCAGGAAAACCTTTTCAGATGAAAAGAGTGCTGTTAAGCCTCGACTCTACCGCAAACATGTGTTGTCCCTAACTGTTGGAACCGTAGTTTAACCTTACTCGGGTAAAAACAATTGAACAAACCTGTGTTCCGTTTTGTCCCGAACTACGTTCTCTATAATCTCTCATACCTGTTGAGAGTACGTAGGCACAAGACACGATGTCTTGGCGAGCAACTTTTCCCCTTTCACCCGTAGTGAGCCGAACTACGTTGACTCTGACATTCCCAATGCACGAGGGAATACGTAGGCCCAGAGCTGCGATGCTCTGTCGAGTCCTTTCTTTTTCTTTTGACCAGATCTTGTAGCTAGATAGATAAACAACCCGTTAGATAAACAAACAAGCGTGGATCCCGTTGAGTACAACGGACGTGAGGGGTGCTAATACCTTCCCCTTGCGTAACTGACTCCCGAACCCGAGATTTGGTTGCGATGACTGATCTTATCCCTTTTCGCTAGGTTTTTCCTGATCGTTTCCTTTCCCTCCTTTGGGATAAATAATGATAGGTGGCGACTCTTCTGTCATTGCCGACACCTTTTTTCGCAGTAGCGACAGTTGCTAATACTTATTTATTTCTTTATCCATTACATGTTTTTATTTATTCCTTTTTTGGATATAAAAATATAAAATATATCATTTTAATTTGAAGTTATCTTGAATATTTTTTTCTAAAAAAGAGATTTGATATTTGTATTATTTTGAAAAATATGTATGTTTTTGAAAAATATGTTATTTTTTCTATATTTCAATATTTTAAAATGTATATTTATGTCAATAGATGTAAAGTTATTCTTTTATCAATGAAAACATGAGAAAAAAATTCTTTGTTTTTTTCTAAAAAAGGTTTAAATAAATTAATTATGATGGTATAGGAAATATCACTTTTATTAAAGTTATAAAAAATGAGACATTATAAATACCCTAGTTTTCATTTTTCTTTTTCATTATACCCTACGTCGTCTAGACCCAACCCTGGAGAAGGTCATCCGAAAATGGCTAGACAAGATTTAAAAAACATCATTTCCAAAACAAAGTTCTCTACTAATGCTTTTCGACCCACGTTGTCTGGACCGAGCCCTGGAGAAGGTCATCCGAAAATCCTCAGACAAGATTTAAAAAATATATTTGAAAGAACACAAATCTTCTCTGATGTTTTACGACCAACATCTTCTGGACCCAGCCCTGGAGAAGGTCATCCGAAAATGGCAAGACTAGATTTAAAAAACATCATTTTTAAAACAAAATTCGCTACTAATGCTTTTGGACACACGTCATCTGGACCCAGCCTTGGAGAAGGTCATCCGAAAATCCCCAGACAAGATTTACAAAACACATTTTCCTAAACAAAAATCTCCTCTGATGTTTTTCGACCAACGTCGTCTGGACCCAGCCCTGGAGAAGGTCATCCAAAAATCGCCAGACAAAATTTACAAAACATCTTTGCCAAAACACAATTCTCCACTAATGCTTTTCGACCCACATCTCTAGAGCCAGCCCAGGTGAAGGTCATCCGAAAATAGTCAGACGAGATTTAAAAAACTTATTCTCCAAAACACAAATCTCCACGGATGCATTTCGTCCCACGTCCACCGGACATTGTCCAAGAGGTGGTGGAACTATTTGAAAATAGCTAGAGGAGATAAAAAATCATGTTCTCCGAAAAATAAAATTGGTAGAAAAATATATAATTGAAATAAGAATATTATAATTTCTTGTTTTGTATCTCTAACAATAAAATTTAAAAATAAAAAAGAAACAATGCATTCCTGCAAATCATAATTTCTTGTTTTTAATTTGTTCTCTTTAATCTTACTTATTTATTTGATTTTCTAAATTTAAAATCTTAAAAAAGGAGTAGATTTATAATTCTTTAGTCGAAAATATTCCTTTTTCTATATCATCCAAAAGAACTCTAACTTTTTTCACTAACTACTTAAGTTCATCAATGATTTCGATTCCCTTTAGATAAAAATCATATAAAAATTCCTAACAAAAATAGCCCTAATTTTTATTTTTTTGTTAATTCTCTTTATTATTTTTGTTTACATTATCAAATTCAATATAAACATTCTTTTTTGAATTAAAAGAAGAATATATTAATTCGAAAGGAAGTACAAAAGAGGTGATCCCGTAGGATCCAACCCAATAAAAAAGACCATTTTACAACATATAACTAACAAGATGCTTCCTAATTTTAAGGTTTTGCCACCCTCTATAGGTCACGTTATCTATAATGTTAGTAGCCACGGTTATAATATCTATAGGTTTACCAAAAGTAGTACTATTACGATACCCCCAGATGCAGTGGATGGTTTCAGCCACTAACATTTTGAAAATATCCACTTTCCAGGATTTACCTTTAGTCATGTTAGTTATCCAAATCAACTCGGCATCCCAAGGTTGAGGTGTATGAACTATGTTAAACCAATGGAGCACTTTCTTCCAAATGTGTCTAGTCCCTTGACAACAGAAAAATAGATGGTTCATCGTCTCTTCCTCGGTATGACATAAACTGCATTGGCTGTCTTGAATCATGCCAAAACGCTTTAATCTATCCTTGGTTGCAAGTTTTCCATGGCAAGCTTGCCATAGACAAAAAAATGCTCGCAGTCGGCTCTTATTGGATCTAATTAAGTTTCTCCAAGGCACTCTTGTGCCGTCATCAATCAAAACCTTGTAAAAAACCGACACCTTAAACCTATGTGAAATCAGAAGTTGATCCCATTCGTTCCTAATTAGATCCATGGTATCCCTTTGTTTCAAAATTCTACGCATGATCCAAAAGCTTTCAGTTTTGGTTTCATAATTCATGATCTGCTTGTTTTTAAAGTAATGAATATGGATCCATTTCACCCACAAATTATCAGATTTTTTGCACAGATTCCATAAGCATTTTAAGAGTAGGACATTGTTCCAAATCTGCAGATTTATCAGGTTCAAACCACCTTGAGCAGTAGGACAGCTCATGTGTTTCCAAGCTACAGGACTACACATGTTATTCGCGAAGAAAAGGCAGCGAGCGGACTTTCTGCTCACTGTATCTTTACCGGTCCAGATGAAACTGCGACAGATGGAGTCAATCTTCTTGATCACGGTTTTGGGCATAGGAAGATAGTGCAGCCAGTGTTGAACCATTACAATTGTTATAATTTTCACCAATTGAATTCTGCCGGCATAACTTAAAAGCTTTGAAGACCAATGGTGGATTCTAGCCACTATTCTATCCACCAAGGGCATAAAATGAGTGATGTTTAGTTTCCTGCCAACCAAAGGTATACCGAGATATCGGAATGGAAGCGTACCTTCTTGGAAACCAGACATCTCTTTCAGAACCTTTCTCTTCTCTTTATCTAGACCTCCAAAATAAATCCTGCATTTGTTAGGATTCATAATTAACCCCGTGGACATGGAGAAGGCCCTGAAAGTTTGAAGAATCATATGTAAAGAGATCTCATCACCTCTGCAGAATAGTAGAACATCATTAGCAAAGGTAAGGTTGGTGATTTTCAACTTTTCGCATTTGGCATGGTAGTTAAAATTAGGGTCTCTTTGCATTTTCATCAACAATCTATTCATATACTCTATTATGAGAACAAATAACATAGGTGATAGAGGATCACCCTGAAGAATTCCCCTTTTGGCTTGCAGAATATCAGTGTACTCTCCCATGATGTTAAATCTATAAGATACAGTGGTGATGCCCAGCATAATCCAACGAATGAATTTGTTAGGGAATCCCATCTCCTTCATGATGCACTCTAAAGCCTTCCAATTAACCATATCATAAGCGTTTTGCAGATCTAATTGAATCATGATTCTAGGTATGCCTCCTTTACTGTTATAACCCTTAAGCAATTCAGTAGCAAGCATGATGTGCTGATGGATGTTTTGACCTGGTACAAAATCTGCTTGATTATAGTTTACCACACTAGGAATGACAGCTCCTAATCTATTGGTCAGAATCTTTGAAATAATCTTCTAGAAAGTGGTGCAGACAGCTATAGGTCTGTAATCTTGGATTTCAGAGGCACTTTGTCCTTTAGGAATCAAGGATACTACAACATTGTTGAAAGCTTTGTAGATTTTTCCTGTTTCAAAGTATTCCTTAACAGCTGCTATCACATCTTCTCTTATAGTTGTCCAGCTGCTTTTAAAAAACTTGGCTCCAAATCCATCCAAGCCTGGTGCTTTGAGGTCTCCAATTCCCTTAAGAGCTGTAGTAATGTCATTTTTTGATATAGGTCTGATAAGGTATTCCCTTTGGTGAATGTCAAGTTGTTTCCCCATCCTCATGGCCTCAATATCAATGTGATTGATGTTTTCAGCATCCTTGCCCATTATGTTGTTATAGAAATTAAGCACCTCCTCTTCAATGTCTGATTTGGATGTGGTCTGACAGCCATCTCTCTTCTTCAGGTTGTTAAGACAATTGGAATGATGTCTGGCCTTGATAGCAGCATAGAAATACTGATTGTTGCCATCTCCCTTTTTAATCCAATCAATCTTTGCTCTTTGTTGCAGAATCTTCCAATCCATTTCATTCAGGACTATGATTTCTTCAGTTAGATCTTTTGCTTTCAAAATCAAATTGTTGTTCAATCTGTCACTCCTCAATTGCTCTTGGATTTCTTTTAGGGTAGTTCTAGCAGAAGCCAATTTGGTCTTAACATCAGATATAGGTTTGTTGAAATGTTGTAATTCCTGTTTCAATCTTTTGAGTTTGTGCCAAAGAACAAACGTTGGACCACCTCTAAGGAGGCCATCCCAATTCTTCTTAACCAAAGTGTCATAGCCAGGCATATTAGTAATGCAATTGCTGAATTTAAAATGTCTGGGGGATTTCCTCTGATTTTGGCTATAAACAAGATACAACATGGCATGATCAGATATATTAGGGGGAAGGATTTTAAGAGTAATCTCCAAATTAATGAGGAACCAATCAATATTGCCTAACACTCTATCAATTCTAGAGTAAATAGGACCAGCTGTTTGTTTATTGGACCAGGTGAAATGATCCCCAATGTTGTCCATTTCATTTAGGCCAGTGTTTTCCATCATATTTGTCAGATCAACATATTCTCTTTCAGTCACTAAATTCCCACCTATTCTGTCTTGGGATTTGATTACATTGTTGTAATCACCAATAACACACCAAGGCCCTTTGATGTCAACAGAAATGTGTTTAATGTCTGTCCACAAGGTTTTCCTCTTATTTAGATGCTTATAAGCATAAACTGCGGTTAGCCAGTGCTTGAGAACTCCACAATTATCATAGATACAAAATTGGATATATTGGCTGCTACTTCGAATGAATTGCACATTTACCCTGTTCTTATCCCAGTGGATCCAGATTCTACCATTTGGATGGTCCTTGTAATTGTCAATATGATTTCCATATATCATTAGTTTCTCTCGAATGTTCTTGGCATTATCTTCTTTTACTCTGGTTTCAATCAGAATAATGATAGCAGGCTTTAGCTCTTGGAGACGGGACCGAATATCACGAATTTTGCCTACTTTATTGAGTCCCCTTATGTTCCAAGATACTAACATGGTTCAAGGTTGAAGGTCACTTGATGGTCATTCAAAACCTCAAGTGCCTCAAAACCATTGTTACAATTGATGCTACTGTTTGTATCAGTAACTATGTTTTTACCTTTATCCCTTACAGATTTCCGTGCTCTTGTCCAAGAATCCCTTCCTACTTCTGTTGTGTCCTCTATTTCTGGTGGTTGAACAGGTATTATGTTTATGGACATTTATGGTGGCTTAAGTTTTGGTTTCCATTGTTGCTTCTTCCCACGATCTTCGCACTTGTGCCCCATTTTTTGACATGTTTCGCAGAATTTTGGTCTCCATTCATAATTCACAAGCTGCATTATTATATCTCCTTCAATATTCCTAATGGCTATTTCATCTATCAAAGGTTGAGTAATGTCTACCTCTATCAATAATCTTGCATATGAGACACGAAACTTATTTGCAATGCATTCATCAGTCACCAATGGTTTGCCAATAGCACTTCCAATTTTGATGAGACTTTTGGCGCCCCATAGATGCAGGGGAAGTTGGGGAAGTTTGACCCAAATTGGTAAAGTTCTCAGTAGATCCTTCTTCAAATTGAAACCAGTTTGCCATTCCTTCAAGATCATGGGCATGTTTCGAATCGTGTATGGTCCTTTCATCATAACTGCTTCCTTGTCTTCTTGGGAGCTAAATCTGATCAGAAAATAACCATCATCGTGGTAATACAGATCTGGCATCTTCAAGAAATTCCACATTCTCTGCATAAAGTTCTTCACCATGTTCATACTCAGGTCATCACCCATAACATAAAGGATTAGAGCATTATCCCAAAATTGTATTTCCGTTTCGATGTCTTCTTGTTCAATGTCTATTTCAAACACTTCGTTGATGAGCTTTGGCGCAATGTACTCGATATCCATTCCTCTTGTAGGGTTCCGGTTGTCATTTATCACATCAACCCATGGTTTACGCTCTTCGGGTTGTGGTTGTGTTGGCTCTGTTAGGGTTTCCTTGTTCTCCCTTACCAAGGTATTTGTCATAGCTTTGTCTTCTCCAATGGTGGTTCTTGAAGAGTTCCCCGAAGTCTGACCAGCAACAGTGGTGTTTCTTGATTCACGTTCTGGTGTTTTCAAGCTGGTGAGAGTTTCAAGTGACGGTGGCACCGTAGCTTTCGGCCGCCCTCGTCCCCTTTTCACGGTCACCATATCTTAATTCAATATAAACGTTTTTAACAAAAGAAGTTCACTTTATTTATTTTTTACTCTATTTACATTAATTTTATTCTTTTATAATTCTTTCACTTTACTTCTTTCTTAACAATGACAAAACTAACAAAATTATTTTTAAAAAAAATCCATGTCACTTTAATTGCATATCTTTATTTATTTATCTATTTATTTGGAATATATTTTTAGAAATTTAAATGTATGAAAACAGTTTACTCAATCTTCTTCCATTACACTTATTGGTTGCTAATACTTTTTTATTTCTTTATCCATTAGATGTTTTTATTTATTCCTTTTTTGGATATGAAAAATATAAAATATATCATTTTAATTTGAAGTTATCTTGAATAGTTTTTTCTAAAAAATAGATTTGATATCTGTATTATTTTGAAAAATATGTATGTTTTTGAAAAATATGTTATTTTTTCTATATTTCAATATTTTAAAATGTATATTTATGTCAATAGATGTAAAGTTATTCTTTTATCAATGAAAACAAGAGAAAAAAATTCTTCGTTTTTTTCTAAAAAAGGTTTAAATAAATTAATTATGATGGTATATGAAATATCACTTTTATTAAAGTTATAAAAAATGAGACATTATAAATACCCTAGTTTTCATTTTTCTTTTTCATTATAAAAACAAGTTGTTAGAAATAATATTTTTTTTGCCAGTGAAAACTATGGGTGAATTTCAAGAAATGCATAAATATTTAGCAATTTTTCTTGTACTAGTTTCATACCATGCTTTCTTTCCAACACAAGCTAGGGAGATTAACCCATTAACTGAACGCACAAATATATTTCAACCTATGTCGTCTGGACCCAGCCCTGGAGAAGGTCATCCGAAAATTGCTAGACAAGATTTAAAAAACATCATTTCCAAAACAAAGTTCTCTACTAATACTTTTCGACCCATGTCGTCTGGACCCAGCCCTGGAGAAGGTCATCCGAAAATCCCCAAAATAGATTTAAAAAACATACTTGAAAAAACACAAATCTTCTCTGATGTTTTTCGACCCACATCTTCTGGACCCAGCCATGGAGAAGGTCATCCGAAAATGGAAATACTAGATTTAAAATACATCATTTCTAAAACAAAATTCGCTACTAATGCTTTTTGACACACGTCGTCTTGATCCTGCCCTGGAGAAGGTCATCCGAAAATCCGCAGACAACATTTACAAAACACATTTGCCAAAAGAAAAATCTCCTCTGATGTTTCTCAACCAACGTCGTCTGGACCCAGCCCTGTAGAAGGTCAACCAAAAATCGCCAGACAAAATTTAGAAAACATCCTTGCCAAAACACAATTCTCCACTAATGCTTTTCGACCCACATCGTCTGGACCCAGCCCTGGAGAAGGTCATTTGAAAATAGCCAGAAGATATTTAAAAAACTTATTCTCCAAAACCCAAATCTCCACGGATGCATTTCGTCCCACGTCCACCGGACATAGTCCAAGAGGTGGTGGAAATACTTGAAAATAGCTAGAGGAGATAAAAAATCAAGTTCTCCGAAAAACAAAATTGGTAGAAAAATATATAATTGAAAAAATAATATTATAATTTCTTTTTTTGTATCTCTAAAAATAAAATTTACAAATAAAAAAGAAATAATGCATTCCTGCAAATTATATTTATTCTCTTATGTGTTTCTTTGGTCATACTTTGCATAGATCTATAACATGAAAATAGATAGCTAACCTTCCGTCAAAACTAAATTAGTATAACGACATGGATAATTAACCTAACTTCATAATCATAACAATTATTCATTTAATAAAACTTGGATTTTCTAATTGTATTTCCCTTTTTCAAAAAGTTAGTCTCCTAGCTCCATACTCATCAATCTAACATTTTCAATTTCTTTCGTATACAAATAATCTCTTGCATATAATATAAAAGATAAAATAGTTTTAAGGAATCCAATTTAGTGTATTATTAGAAGGAACAACTGTTGAAATTTGGAAACTAATCAATTTAGTAATTAATATTTTTCTTGTGTCTAAATTTGTTTTACTTAGAGATAATTCATTAAATATATAATATTATTTTTTCAAAAGCTAGTTTATTGGCCACAGGAACTCTCTTGTAATCCGTCTTTTGTTCTGATAAGCTAAGATTTATAGTTCGTATATAAAGAAATGAGGATTGTTTTTTGTGATACGCCATCCCCCTACTCAATATCTATCTATGTCCATTTCCCTCTTTTTTTAGTTATTTCCAATAGGTAAATATTATTTAAAATTTTGAAAGTAATAACAAAACCCATTTTTTAATTGTTAGTTCTCGTTTCTATTTTGTACAATATATAAGACTATATAAAATTTTTAAACAAATATAACTCCACTTTTTTTTATTTGTTCTCTTTAATCTTACTTATTTATTTGATTTTCTAATTTTAAAATCATAAAAAAGGAGTAGATTTATAATTCTTTAGTTGAAAATATTCCTTTTTCTATATCTAGCCAAAAGAACTCTAACTTTTTTCACTAACTACTTAAGTTCATCCATGATTTGGATTCCCTTTAGATAAAAATCATATAAAAATTCCTAACAAAAATAGCCCTAATTTATATTTTGTTGTTAATTCTCTTTATTATTTTTGTTTACATTATCAAATTCAATATAAACGTTTTTAACAAAAGAAGTTCACTTTATTTATTTCTTACTCTATTTACGTTAATTTTTTTCCTTTATAATTCTTTCCCTTTACTTCTTTATTAACAATGACAAAACTAACATAATTATTTTTCAAAAAAATCCATGTTACTTTAATTGAATATCTTTATTTATTTATTTCGAATATATTTTTAGAAATTTAAATGTATGAAAACAGTTTACTCAATCTTCTTCCATTACACTTATTGGTTGCTAATACTTTTTAATTTCTTTATCCATTACATGTTTTTATTTATTCCTTTTTTGGATATTAAAAATATAAAATGTATCATTTTAATTTGAAGTTATCTTGAATATTTTTTTCTAAAAAAGAGATTTGATATCTGTATTATTTTGAAAAATATGTATGTTTTTAAAAAAATGTTTTTTTTTCTATATTTCGATATTTTAAAATATATATTTATATCAATAGATGTAAAGTTATTCTTTTATCAATGAAAACATGAGAAAAAAATTCTTCGTTTTTTCTAAAAAAGGTTTAAATAAATTAATTATGATGGTATAGGAAATACCACTTTTATTAAAGTTATAAAAAATGAGACATTATAAATACCCTAGTTTTCATTTGTCTTTTTCATTATAAAAACAAGTTGTTAGAAATATATTTTTTTTGCCTGTGAAAACTATGGGTGAATTTCGAAAAATGCAAAAATATTTAGCAATTTTTCTAGTACTAGTTTCATATTTGCAAAAACACAATTCTCCACTAATGCTTTTCGACCCACATCGTCTGGATCAAGCCCTGGAGAAGGTCATCCGAAAATAGCCAGACAAGATTTAAAAAACTTAGTCTTGAAAACACAAATCTCCACGTATGCATTTCGTCCCCCGTCCACCGGACATAGTCCAAGAGGTGGTGGAAATATTTGAAAATTGCTAGAGGAGATAAAAAATCATGTTCTCTGAAAAACAAAATTGGTAGAAAAATATATAATTGAAATAAGAATATTATGATTTCTTGTTTTGTATCTCTAAAAATAAAATTTAAAAATAAAAAAGAAATAATGCATTCCTGCAAATCATATTTATTCTCTTATGTGTTTCTTTGGTCATACTTTGCATAGATTTATAACATGAAAAGAGATAGTTAACCTTCCGTCAAAACTAAATTAGTATAACCACATGGATAATTAACCTAACTTCATAATCATAACAACTATTCATTTAATAAAACTTGGATTTTCTTATTGTATTTCCCTTTTTTAAAAAGTTAGTCTCCTAGCTCCATACTCATCAATCTAACATTTTCATTTTCTTTCGTATACAAATAATCTCTTGCATATAATGAAAGAGATAAAATAGTTTTAAGCAATCCAATTTAGTGTATTATTAGAAGGAACCAATATCAAAATTTGGAAACTAATCGATTTAGTAATTAATATTTTTCTTATGTCTAAATTTTTTTTACTTTGAGATAATTCTTTAAATATATAATATTATTTTTTCAAAAGCTAGTATATTGATAAAAGATATGTTGAGTAGTTACTTTTTAAATTAATATCAATTTATTTTAAGAAATTAACATTTTAAATTACATATGTCTGGAGATACTCTACATTACAAAAACATAGAGGTATACAAGGCAAAGATTTGTTATTAAAACTTTGTATGATATTAGTTTCTTCCCTATGTTATTATATATTTGTTTCTTACATATCTTGGGTGATTATACCACCCTGTTATAAAATAAGAATTAAGCCTCTGTAGTTGGAAGGCTATTTGTTTCGAGATGTCTTTCTTAAAGCAAAAGTTGAAGCGTGGTCCACTATTTTTTTCTAATAAATTTTAGTGTGCAATTTATTATTTAGCTAGAATGTTTCTTGGCCACAGGAAAACTCTTGTGATCCGTCTTTTGTTCGGATAAGCTAAGATTTATAGTTCGTATATAAAGAAATGAGGATTTTTTTGTGATACGCCACCCACCCTACTCAATATCTATCTATGTCCATTTACCCTCTTTTTTTAGTTATTTCCTATAGGTAAATATTATTTAAAAATTTGAAAGTTAAAACAAAACCCATTTTTTAATTGTTAGTTCTCGTTTCTATTTTGTACAACAATATATAAGACTATATAAAAATTTTAAACAAATATAACTCCACTTTTTATTAATTTGGTCTCTTTAATCTTAGTTATTTATTTGATTTTCTAAATTTAAAATCTTAAAAAAGGAGCAGATTTATAATTTTTTAGTCGAAAATATTCCTTTTTCTATATCTAGCCAAAAGAACTCTAACTTTTTTCACTAATTACTTAACTTCATCAATGATTTCGATTCCCTTTAGATAAAAATCAT